CGCAGGGGGCGCGGGCGGCGGGGGTCCGGGCGCCGCCTTCTCTATCGACGCGCTGATCGGGCCGCCGCCCCCGCGCGCCGGCCACCTACTCTACACCGGGTACCCCATGTTCGTACCCTACCGGCCGCTCGTGCTGCCGCAGGCGCTCGCCCCCGCACCGCTGCCCGCCGGCCTCCCGCCGCTCGCGCCTCTCGCCTCCTTCGCCGGCCGCCTCTCCAACTCTTTCTGTGCGGGGCTGGGCCAGGCCGTGCCCTCCATGGTGGCGCTGACCACTGCGCTGCCCAGCTTCGCCGAGCCGCCCGACGCCACCTTTTACGGGCCCCCCGAGCTTGCCACCACCAATGCCTCCGCACGCAACCTTCCAGAACCCGGCACCCGCCGCGTAGAGGGCGCCCTGGACGCCGAGGAGCTGCTGCCGGCGCGGGACAAAGTGGCTGAGCCGCCGCCGCCACCGTCCGCGCACTTCGCAGAGACTTTCCCGAGTCTGCCAGGTAAGTGGCGGGCGCGAGGCGCGCTTGACGGCGCCTCCTGCAGCGGGTCCCGGACCCGCCGCCCGCACGGGCACCGACTCCAACCCGGTTCCCAACGTGGCGTCGCCGAGCCCACAGCCCTTGCTCCTCGACCTCCAGAGCGCCGAAACCTCACCAGAGACTTCCCAGCCTCTTGCAGCCCGAGCCTCCCGGCGCCGTCACCCTCCAGCGTCGCCTACCGCCTCTGAGTCCCTGCCGTTTTCTCTGTACAGGGTGGGGTCGCAGGTGCACCCAGGGCCCCAGGGAGAGGGCTCGTGGGGACCACTGCCAGTCCTGCGAGGGGGGCGCAACTGGCCCCTGAGTAGATAGCCTTGACCTTCCGCTCTCAGGTAGTGGTGCGCAGGCATGGCGAAGGTCTGAAGGTGCCTGTCGCTTCACCTTGACCGCAGAGGTGACTTCCGAATGGGCAGCTTTGGCGCTAAGCCTAGAAGACCCAGGTAGCTGCGCTCTCAGCTCCCACCTCGGGGGACCTGGCCTGCAGGGAGGCCCAGAGGCCTTAGACTGGGCTGGGTTGGGTGTGGCCCTGAAAGCCCCAGCTGAGAATCTGATGCGGGTTTAGCTCAGAGATCGCTCAGGAGCCGTGGGAAGGACACCCTTTCCACAGAGGCAGGGTGGATTGAGGGAACAGCGTTTGGAATCAGTGCACTTAGGGCGTGGCTGACCTCCCTATAGCTATTTAACTGTTAGAACCCAGAAAAGCTTTCTCTTATCCAGGCAGATGCAGGTTTTTGAAATCCAAAACTTGGACAATTTAAGAAAAATAGGGTTACACATAAGTGTGGGCCTGTGAAGTATCGGCTTCCTTGGCATCAGGATGACGCCTGGCCATTCACTGTGGCCAGCTTAGCCAGGGGAAGTGGCCCCAGAAGGCCTGGGGGGGCTTCAGTGGAGGGGACATGGACATGGGGATCCCAGGGCACTTGGCCAGAAAGGGCCACTTCCAGCCTTGAAATTGTGCCATGGGCTGCTCACTCCTCCAGCCCCTAAAGGATTGCACAGAGCAGTCCTTAGTTCCTTGTTGTAGGGGCTCTGGGGATCCAGCTGTTTTCTTTTCGGTATGTACCTGGCTGGGCTTGAAGGATCCCAAAGCTGAAGTCCAAGCAGCTCTTTTAGGGTGGACTCTAGGGAATACAGCAGCACCCAGAGGTGGGAGGAAATGTCGGTATGATGAGGGGGCCAGGGGTGGGGTGGAGAAGCCAGCAGGGAGTCTTAGGAAGGATTTGTGGGGGTTTTGGAGCAGGATGGAATGGAGGAAGGCAGAAAACACCATCATAGGGACCTTGAGGAAACCGAAGGATCTGCAGGCAGTGAACAGACACACCTAGGAAAGGGGAGTTGGGGGACAGGCAGAGGGGTCTCAGGTAGAGAGAATTGGGGGATCCTCAGACCACACGAAAACAGCAGCATGTCTACACTGTCCGGTCTCCCCAGTTTTATTTGGACCCGTAGTATAATGGGGTTCTTTTCTGAGGCAGATTGAAATTGGCTATGAAATCAGGTATTGATGGAAAGGAGGAGGCAAAAGAAAAGGATGGAAGAGAAATGCAGAGGTGAGAACAGAGGAAAGGACAGGAGTGAGTTTAGACCTCGATGGGAAGCAGGACTCTGGGCAGGCGAAAGGAAACGAGCAATTTCCCTAGACCGGAAGTTCTGTCCTGGGAGGCCTGGGCGAAAGCTAAATAAAAACATCAGGGAGTGGGAGAAAGTTTTGTGCTAAGAATGGTTTTCTTTAAAGAGGTTTTCAGTAGTGGGAGTGATGTGGAGCTGGGGTGTATGTGGAATGATGGAGGAAAGGTCTTCGTTATCCAAGGAGATCGTTGGAAGCCAAAACAGAGGAGCGAGTGGTTCTTGAAATCAGACAAGGGCTTCATTGCTGAGCATGCTGGGAGGGAAACTTTGCAGGGGCAGGCTTGGGACAGCAAGAGGATGAAGGTCAGCAGACACAAAACAGGTCCGCAGTGGGCAGAGCAGTCTGTAGGGCAGGCTCCAGAAGGGACATCGGAGGGTGCAGGTTTGGGGTCACCTGGGACTGCCAACTGGATTGTCCGCCCTCCCAAAGCAGCCCCAGCCCTTTTTCCACAGCCGCTCACACCCACCTTCCCAGTTGTGGGTGTTCCCTGAGAGAGCTACAAGAAGAAAATGTGTTTCTGAAATGTTAGGCATCCCATCGGTTTGGAAGCACCCCGCCCACACTGCAGTGGTGGCTGAGTCCGGGTCATTTTTGTGGACAACGGGTGGGGCGGGGGCATCTACTGCGGCCTCTGACATGGAGACCTTCATGTCTGAAGGTTCTGGACGAGAGCGCAGAGGTTACTATGACAAAAGAGTCGCCCTCCTACTGGGAAGGGGTGACACAGGGCTGGAGTTATTCGTTTACAGTTGTTTAATGGGTCACAATTCCCAACCCCTTAGATGAACTTCTAGTGAAGATAGGTGCATTTGGGGAAGGAAGAGTAGAGTTCTTCTCATGGGTGGGGGCGGATCACAGAGAGGGATTTTCTTTTAATTGACTGAAAGTTAAAATAAACACCACTGGCCTGCTACAATTGATGAATAAATAGAACTTCGTGGTGCAGTTCTAGGGCTAGCGGTGGTGTCCACGATGGTAAGAATCACTGTGTATAGGAAGAGGAGAATAGAAAGGTGTCGTGACTGGGAGGTTGAAAAGAGGCTTGGATATGGAGCGTGGCAGGTGTGGATCCACTGGAGCAGGCTCTGGGTAGGAGTGACAAAGAAGAGAGGATTTGCAACTGGTTGGGAAGATTAAAGTCTCAATGGGGAAGGCTGGGGTGCTACTCAGTGCTAAAGCGCTTGCCTCGCGTGTGTGGAATCCTGTATTCCATCCCCAGGCCTGCAAAAAAAGAATATGAATTGGTGGCAGAGCCTAAAAGAGGAACCGCTGGTAGAAGTATCATGTAAGCCATCAGTGTCATTTTAAAAGCTTTTACTAGCCATATTTACAAGGGGGAAAGAAACAGGTCAAGTGGATTTTTATTTTATTTTATTTTTTGGTGGAACCAGGGGTTGAACTAAGGCCCTTGTGCTTACCAGGCAAGCACTTTTCTACTGAGCCATCTCCCTGGCCCCTCAAGTGACTTTTTAAAAATACATTTATTTTTATTTTTTTATTTTTTATTTTTATTTTATTGTGGTACCAGGGATTGAACTCAGGACCCTGTGCTTGCCAGGCAAGTGCTTATTCTACTGAGCTATCTCCCCAACCTTTATATATACATTTTCATTTAATCTAATATGTTCAAAATGTTTTCATTTCAGCACTAATTTATATGAAGATTTTAATGAGATATTTGTTTGTTTGATTTGGTTCTTTTTTTAAAATGTATTTGGTTGTTACAGGGTCTCACTATGCAGCTCGGACTTGTGATGATCCTCCTGTTTCCAGCCTCCCCAGCGCTGGGATTACAGGCCTAGCACCTGACTCTGGCCCTCTCAGGCCACCCTGGGGGTGGGGCTGGGGCTGGCAGGGCATGTGGTGCCGAGGATCGAACTGCCTCCCAGTCTTGCCTAAGCTTGCCTCAGCAGGCACTTTAGTCTGTTGAGCTATCTCACCAGCCCTGGTTGGTTCTTTTGACATGGCCTCACTGTGTAACCCAGGCTGACCTCCATCTCTCAGCGACCTTCCTGCCTCATTGTCCCGAATACCAGGATTACAGGCATGGGCCACTATCCCTGGCTTTAATGTACCTTCCGTATACTCTTTGTACCAAGCCTCCCAAGTGCGCTGTGTAGTTTTGTGCTCCCAGCCCTCTCAGCTCAGTCTAGCCATGTTCCGGGGGCTGGGAGCCTCCTGCAGCTGGTGGTGACAGCATTCAGCATAGCACGGCCCTGGGCGGGCAGACTCAGGTGAGAGCAACAGGGGCAGGGGCTCCCGATGGCATTGATGGCATCGCGTGCAGGGTGAGCCCCTGAACAATCAGCAGGAGCGATGGGAAGAAGAGAGAGGGAATCCCCTGAAAGGAAAGCACAGGCTCCCACCTGCGGTGGGTCGGGCCAGAGGACCAGGGCCTCTGCAGGTTCACCACAGTCCCCGCTGAGTGTCATCAGAGCTGAGTCGCTGCGGTGTGCACACTGTACACATCTGTTTCCCAGAGCCAGGTCTTGACGAGAGTGCCGAACGCCCACACGCACGCCTGCCTGCCTGCCTGCCTGCCTGCCTGCCTGCCTGCCTGCCTGCCTGCCTGCCTGCCTGCCTGCCTGGGAAATGCAGGAGGAAACTTTAAATCAGGGGTGTGGTTCATGTGGGGAGGAAATGTTGGGCTGCCTGAAGCAAAAGTGGAAGAACTAGGGGTTGACAGTATTTTTCTTTCTGTTTTCTTCTTCTTCTTTTTCTTCTTTCTTCTTTCTTCTTTCTTCTTTCTTCTTTCTTCTTCTTCTTCTTTTTTTTTTTTTTTTTTTTGTGGAACTGGGGATTGGACTCCGGCCCTTGTGCTTGCCAGGCAAGCGCTTATTCTACTGAGCCATCTCCCCGGCCCCTGGCAGTATCTTTCAGGCAGAGGACATAAGTGTATTTGCAGTTGGAGTTAGGGTCTGGTGGGAGCTGAGAGAATGCGATGGGATGAACCTTAGAGATGGCGGTGCAGTGCACAGGAGTTTTTCAAACCAGATAAAAATTGCAGCTTTTTCAATTGGCTAGCAGTAATAATAACAGTAATCACACAGGAGGCCAGGGAGACGGACACGGAGGGCTGACTGCTACCAGCTAAGCCCCTGGCTGTAGCTGGGGGACGTTCTGGGTGACCCTAATTCATTTCTGAATAGGTAGCCCCTGTGACTGTCGCCGGTACTTCCTAGGGAGACAAAACCAGAAGTGATCACTCCTGGGGGAACCACAGACGCCTGTTAGAGACGGAGGATTTCGGAGGTGATGGAGACCCGCAGCATGCTCTCCCTGGACTTTGGGGGCGGAGGACACAGTGCGAGTGGCTAGCATGCGGACATTT